AATTGTATCACACAGAAGTGTAGGTATCTGTAAGTACATATATATTCTGTTTGTTGATAGAACAATCTGTGTGTATGTGTGTTTACACTGTATATAAATATATAACATAATAGTTATTATTTATATATTATATATATTTTTATTAAATTATATATGTTTAATTTAATTACATATAATTAATATTTGTTCTATTAATAAATATCATACCTACATTAAAATAGAGTAGAATAATTAATAATACTAACCGAGTTATCATCAGGTAAAACATGATAAGTTATTATGTTCTCATTATTTTTTTTAACATGATTTCTAGTGTGCTAATCACATAGCAAAAGATAAGCGGGATTTCGATATACAAACGCATATATAATCAACGCGTTTGAATTAATGAATTATATCGTGAAAAAAAATCGCGATCCAATTCGTGATAAAGCGATCATCAGCTGTGATTATTCGAAGCATCGCCGAGAATTCCTGCATGATATGAATATAAATCGGAAGACCAGCGTCTTCTGTCTCCTTGTACATACATCCCACCATCTCGTAGTCGTAGTGCAAGTATTGCGTACACTTTTTTTTCTACCTATTACCGAACGATAATGATACTTGTAACTCTGATATACATATACATGTACCTTCGGCAATTCCATTCCAGTGAATATCATAGTTCACTATGTTAATAGAATGCGTAATTACGCATGTATATGGAGCAAAGTGTACGAGCGGGGCACTATCTTCCTATGCCGGAAGCAGACGAGATAAAAAAGTATCGTCGGCTTTTTTTTATTATAATAATATATTATCGGGGGAAGGGGGGATGTGTGTAAATTCAAAATGTTAAATTCAAAAAGTACTAAAAAGCGGCTTAGATTCTCTACATCAATTATAAATACCGCTTAATAAAAAAAAAATGTTAAAACCGAATAGATATACCTATTGTAATATAAAAACAAAATTGCGGCAGGCTGATACTCTTCGTCCATTTCACTTCATTTATCTTCTTCTTCTTCTTGCTGATATAGTTATGGCATCCGATCCCAAACTGGTTTCAATACGGCCCCCAGGTAGCACATATTAGTTTCATATACGTTTTTTGAACGTATACATAGTTTCATAACCGTAAAGAACTATTAAAAAACATTTGAACAAAAATATTTTTGAAACCATGATTTAAGAAACGTATTTTTTTACGTTTCTACAGTTAATAAATACCTATTTGTTAAATTTTTCTTTTTAAAATTAATATTTGCTTTATCTATATACATAATAGCTTTAATAGCCTTTTTTGAAACATTTAAATTTATATTGCACTAATTATTGCACATAATAAATCATTTTATTCATGCACATATATCCATATGCACTTATTTACTTAAATTAATTTTGTTCTATCGGTCTTAATCTATTTGTCATCGGACAAATCTGAGCTTAGAAAACTTCCAACAGTTGCAAAATAAACGTTCTGCTGAACGTGGCCATTGAAAGAACATTTTATACGTGTGTTCCGTTTTGAAGAATCCTTCCTGAACTAGTGCAGATCAGTAATGCAATTAAGTTAGAGTGAGACAAGTATATTTTGTTTCACTTTAACTTATTACACGAATGTGCACCAGTTCATGAATTTCTTCGAAAAAGAATAGACATCATGCCCAAAGCTTCTAGTAGAACATTCTCACGCATGTCTCAAAGACGTCATAAACACGTTCAAAAGACGTAAAAAGTAGGAATTTTAAATGTCTTTATCTAAAATGTCTTCATCATTAAAACAAAACGTTTCTATAATAGTTTTTTAAACGTTATTTTATCGGAAAAAAAACGTTCCATCGAACGTTTTTCGAATGGACATTTTTAATCATGAGAAACGTTTCTATAAGAAATCGGTTATAAAACGTTTCGGAAAAACACTTATAAAACATTTTTGAAACGTGTATGTCCCAATAAAAACAGTCACGTCACATCCACGTCGAATCCACGTCGAATCCACGTAGCAATAACGTGGATCCACGTACTGTTTTTATCGGGGTGCTACCTGGGGCCTAGCGTCAAATCGAGTTGTAAAATGTGAATACAAATGTCGGATGATGCAACAATGATCAGATACGAATAATGAGATATGAAGTTGGAAATATGTGTGTTTATGCTGGTTGTGTGTAGGGGAACGGGGGGTAGCCCTGGACAGTAGGTAGCCCCGGGCATTATTGAAATTTAAGTATACCGCGTATCTATGGCCATTGTTTAAACATTCTGCATATGTCGAGATACGCAGAAGAGCATATTAGAATGTTTAAACAATGGCCATAGATACGCAGTATACTTAAATTTTAATAATGTCCGGGGCTATACCCACTGTCCGGGAATACCCCCCCCCGTTCCCCTAATGTGTCAGTATAGACCTTTTTTAGCTGAACTTCTTGCGTAGTTTAACTTTTCTTTTTTTCTCTCCAACGTGAAAAAGAAGAGATGAAAGATGAACCGTGCAAGATCGAAGTTCAGTTAAAAAGAACAGGTCTACTGTGAGTGTCCGCGGTGTTGAATTCGAGTCCGTAGGTTTGTTAAGCCCCAAAGGATTGCACGGGTCCTCTCTGTGGGAATTTTTTTATCCTCTACTTTTGTAACAAAGCGTTTTGTATATATGTTGGCATATATATTATCTGTAGAACGTAACGCGGATTTCGAGGTGAACAGAGCAGGCAGGAGGAGGAAAGGAGAGCACGGTGTATAAAATGGAACTAAAGCAGGTCTCGCGGCGGTTACGCAACGCGTCTTTTTGTCGAACCGCGTTTCCCGCGGTTCTGTACGCAATCCTCGTGAAAAATTGCATCCTCGCAAAACACGCCCTCGGTAGAAATTCAGGTTGTTTCCGCGGGGAACAACATTGTGAATTTAATCGTCGTCGCGTACGCGATCGCGCGGCGTGTTCCCTCTCACGCGGGAAGAACATCCGCACCGCGCGGATGTGCGCGTCGGCTAATTGGCGTTTACTTTGGAAAAAAACGCCGTTTGCGTGAGGCTCGTTAAAAATCGGATAGCGCATAATTGCGAGCGGCCGTGCTATCCGTTGTTCAGCGTGTGCAATGCACGCAATACTCCACTTACTCCGCAATTTGGCTTGCAAATGCCACAAGATTAAACGCCGAGGCTCAAGCGGGCGAGAAATAAGCTCTTTTAATTGTGCGATGTGACAGAACTTTTCATATTGTACATATTTATACATATATTTAATTGTATTATATATTATATAATTAAATATATATTTACATTAATTACAGATATGATTGTATTATGTATGTATAATTTTCTAGTGAAATAAGCGATATGTCCACTTGCCTAGAATTATCACGTCGAATCGGCGTCTTATCGCGCGAGACAACTTTAGATCTGTATCTCGCATGATAAAAGACAAGAAATATAAAGAATGCCAAGCCCAAGAATATATATATAAAATATTCGATTGTGTCCGATATTGATCGCTCGTCGAACAACCAAATAATCACTCGTGCTTAATACCGATATACCACAATCGAATATTTCTGTAATTAATTGACTCTCATTCGCTTGCGCCTACGTGAAACTATCCGCTGGCTTTCTTTTAATATTGTCGTTTATCTTCTCTTATAATATCTCGCTCTCGGTTAAGTTCAACATTGATCGCGAAATATATCGGCCGCTCGAGAAAATAATTTCGACGACTCTGGACATTCCGTGCGTCGTAATCTTATCGAAAATCTGCATGTACTTTCTTATCTGCACTTATACTTTTCTGCGAAACGGTTTAATTTATACTTTCTTATCTGCATTTGTACTTTCCGAAACGGTTTCGTAATTGAAAGACCCTTGGTTCGTGATCTGGAAAAAGCTCGGCGAAAGCTGAAATTCTGCGAAATCATGCATGGTAATATAAAGCTGAGGTCGATAAACTAACTGTGTAGTTATTGTTATGTATTTTAAATTTTATAAAACTATGCATTTGTTTTCTCCCCTGTTATTAACAAATAACTACATAATATATCCTCGATTTGCCTTCTGATCCGAAAAATTTAAAATATTTGCTATTTGATCCTTTACAGAGAAAAATTTTGTCGACCCCTGACGTATGTAGAGCAGTGAAAGGGTAATGGCAGAGAACAGTTGAATTGATCTGGATTTCGCGGAGCGCGACACGGATCGTCGATGAATTAATAAGCCGGCATAATAAGCATAATAATAACAAAAACTAAATTAGATTCATAAGTTGCGCGCCGCGTGTATGTCGATATCTTTGCAAGATACACGCTGGTTACCCTTGCAAATAAACGCGAGATAAGGAACGCGCAAAAAAGTTGACGTTAAGCTCGCCAAATATTTCCGCGACGTGCGCAAACGCATTTTGCGGATATCGCGTGTTAAGCGGGGAAAAAGATCTCGCGTCTGGAAAATCCTCGTTGATGAACATGTCAATTTGCATACGTTCCGTTTTTGATAAGGCACGCTCGAATTAGGTGTTCACGAGGAGACCGGGCAATCGCGGAGATTTGTACGGCACGCTCTTGTAATTAGCGCATTTTTAGGCGATGGCGTTATAAATAGCGATATTACGCTATAAACGGAATTCGAACACGTATAATTAGGCGTGACGCGTAACAATGCGATCTTCGCAAAGAAAGATTACGTAAAATCGGCGTGCCGCTTAGTCGAAATTGTCGTCTGTCGTTGCTTACTCAACGACGCGGAATATTTTACGCATTTCGCAAATTTTTAAACGGCATATCACTCAACATACATTGCGTATGTGTCATACATATTGAAATTTACGAAGCACCGATAGAAAATTGACAGGTTGATTAAGCGCTCCTTAAAGCTCCTCGTTTTATATTCTGAGATAATAGCTCTGTTTAAACATAACTAGATGACTCGACAACTCGTCGATATAACCCGCGGTCGCTCTTTCGTAATAAGAAACAATCGAATTCTCCAAGGAGAGAACTCGATCACTTCGATTGTTCTTATTAGAAATGACGATAGAGATGCGCAATTAGTGTTTTATTCAATTAAATTAAAATTATACTATACATTTTACTTAATCCTTAATATGTACAATCGCTACTGATCTATCGGCTTCAATTTACAGTTTCTCCTTTCACGACGAAAAAGGCTCGGCTTGCGTAAATGTCGCCGGCGCATTGAGCGATACGGTCTAATGTGAACTCGAGATGCATTCCGGCACCGCGTGACTTTAATGTCGCGCGTAAATTACTATTCAAGGATTATGCGCGAGAGGTGTCGACGCGCGTCTTTCTCCGGCATCTTTCCTTCACGCGGATGTGAGATCTTCGTTGAAAGTCAAGGCGAAATGACAGGCGGGCCTTGAGAATGCGTCTGTCGAGGAAATACAATGTCTCGGGATGATCACGAGATTATCAACAAGTCCGGCTATGTTTGTTAAGAGCCCAACACTCTCTGGGGCACCGCGAGGAAAAGCGTCGTTAGCAACATTTTCATGATTTCTCCCCCGATTCCGCCTTTTCCTCCTCTTTCTTGCGCCGCCTCTCCTCCCGATCCTGTATGACGAAATCGGGATCGTTCCAGTATTGAACCTCCCCGCTGGCGTACAGGACAAAGATGATGTTCGTCAGGATGAAGACACCCAGGACGATCCAGAAGACGGTTCGCCATTGCATCATCGTTTGCTCGGACGCCACCTCGCCGACGATGTACGGCGTGAAGATACCGGTGAAAGCGCCTATCCCGTTCACCAACGCCATCAGGGTGCCGGAGTAATTGGGGCTGAGATCCAGTCCATTGACTTTCATCCCGGGGTAAAAGGTACCTGTAGAAGATCGAAAATGGAGAGTGTTAAAATGATAAAAGAATCTCTCGATCCTGCATGGATTTTATTTTGCAAAATTGTAATATTCCGAGGAGTGGACGACATCCAGAGGACTACAGGGAAAAACTGACTGCAGAGATCAAGCAGATCGAAATGCTGAAGAATGGAAGAGGCCTATATTCAGGAAAGAAGCTGAGAAAGAAGAAGAAGAAGAAGAAAGAAGAAGGACGCGAATTCGCGTACACGTACCCATTAGAGCCATGCCGATGGTGAACATGGCCACCACCAGCGTTCGGTCGCACGAGGCGTACGAGGCGCCAATGATGAAGACGCCCGGGCCTATGGAGGCGATTGTGGTGCCGAGTTTCCTCACGTTGGTGCGCGACATGACGCCCCTGGTGATCATCCAGTCGGCCAGCCAAGACGCGCCTATGCTGCTGAACCACATGACGAGGTAGGGCAACGCCGAGACGAAGCCGTTGCTCTTGATGGGGTATTTGAGTACGCTGCTCATGTACTTGGGTAGATCGGTGACCAAGGTGAAGAAGCCCCAGTCGTGGCCGATCTGGGCGGCGATTAGGGCCCAGACGGGTAGCGAGCGCAGCATGTGTCGCCAGGGCACGGACGGTGGTTTCTTATGAGTGTGCTCATTCATACGATCGTGCAGGAACTTGACCTCTTTTTCAGAGATGAACGGATGCTCGTCCGGGTTGTTGTAACAGATCAGCACCCACGTGACGAACCACAACACGCCAATGCCTCCGAACACGTAGAAGACGGCGGGCCAGCTGTAGTCGTGCAGGATCAGGCCGGACAATAAGTTGGCGAACACCGTGCCGAGTTGGGCACCGGCGAACACCAGCGAGCCGATTACCGATCTCTCCTCCGGCGGCGTCCACTGAGCTAGCATTGCGTTCAACGCCGGGAAGGTCGTGCCCTCGCCGAGGCCCATGAGGATTCGCAGCACGACCAGACCGGTCGCCTCGCCCCACTTGACCACCACCGGCGTCAGCAGGGTAAATATCGCGGTCGAGAGCATACCAAGACCGAGGGAGTACTTGCCGCCAAACCTCTCAGCCAGCATCCCGCCCGGCAGATGCGTGATGACGTACCCCCAGTAGAAGGACGAAAGAATGAGGCCCTGGAACGAAAGGAAAAGGTATGAAGTCACAAAATAAATGAGAGAGAAAAAAAATACGAAAATAAAGGCAAAACGTATATAAGAGTGAAAATAAAATATATCATAAAGGCATGAGGCATCTTGATATTATAATTAATAAAAGTATGATTTCGTGTAAAGTATCTTTTACCTGCGTACGTTCATCCCAGTCGTATCGATCGGTCGTATCGACCGTCGTATTGTTTGCCTCAGATTCTATATTGTCCGGACAACTACTGTCTGTGTAATTGTGATCTATCGGAATCGTCATCTCCGTAATGGTGATCGAGAGGCAGATTCTCATGGTATAGGCATTCAGGACCGCCAAAAATCCCATGATAGCGAATATCCATCGTTGCGGCAGTCGGCTGCCTGTAATTCACAATTTCGCGTCATTCCATGTCATTAATTCTGCTATTTCGAAAGCTTAGTCAACTGAGGCGAGTTCTAATCGTTCGAAAACTTAATCAACCGAGACGAGTTCTAATCACCGTGACTCGTAACTTTAGACGCAAACAGCGATTGTCGCGCGAGAATCTAAAGATAATGAAAAATATTGTGAAAATATATTAAATTGCATAACATATATTAAAATCGTTTATTTCAAAATTTTTTTTATTATTTATTACTATTGTTTAAATATAATCAAGAGGCAATAATTCGCGATAAAAGGATCTCAGGGTGAGTAAATCCTCATACAGTTTACTTACACAGAAGTTATTTGCGCACTTTCCGCGAAGATTCACGCTTTTATTAGGCTTTGATTACCGTGCACTTATCTCGGCTATGATTTCGTTATCCGATTATTTGTCGCTCATTTCGCCGTAATCGCCTATATATACGTCTTTTTTTTTTACGATCTTTTTTTTTTACGATCTTCAATAAGTCATTCGCGCGACGAAGTTTTTGCGAAACTTTACTTTCGCTGTACTTTACTCTTCTACTGGTCACTTGTGACTCACTCAGGCAAATCCCGTTTATCGAGAAATATCAGGTAATCAAAAAAGTTTGTGCGGTTTTTTATATTAAAAATTAAACAAGTGCAGAAATTTTCATAAAACGTTTTATTCATTAAAATAAGCACTTTCACAATCTACAACCCTTTCCCAACGAGATACAAGGTTGTAAATGTCGCTTTAATAAAACGTTGTATCTTTAGAAATAAAGAATCAAGCAACCTCCACTTCAATCTCTGTTTTATTCTAAAACTGTTCTATTTTGCATGTGATTTATCTCCGGAAGCATTTTTAAATTATTTCTATGCACAGTACGTTCTCTTACCGCATCATCTCCAAATGCCACATAGGGAAACGGGGGGTAGCCTCGGACAGTGGGTATAGCCCCGGACATTATTGAAATTCAAGTATACCGCAAATCTATGGCCATTGTTTAAACATTCTAATATGCCTTACTGCGTATCTCGACATATGCAGAATGTTTAAACAATGGCCATAGATACGCGATATTGAATTTCTTCTTACTAGATACTTGAATTTCAATAATGTTCGGGGCTACTCCCCGTTTCCCTATATCTTATGAAATGCTATTGCAGTTTTCGAACCGAGTTTAAATTTATAAAGCAAATAAGCCCGAATTACACCAGATTCAATTAATATTTTGAAAGGGTTCAAATTTATAGAAAAAAAATACACCAAGTCAAAATGCAGCGATTGATTGACGCGTATATGTGCCTTATGATGCACATAGAAACTTGTGCTTTGCAAATCACTACAAGATAAAACAATTCATTCTTGAATTCATTGCAACAAATTTACCGAAAACTACCGAAATTTACCAAACTACCGAAAACCGCATACATTTTTTGATTACCTAATATATCTTGCCTTTAATTAAAAAAATACTGTTTTTTTTTTCGTTTTTAAATCCAATACTAATGGTAGAAATAATGTATTTCGCGCATGTCGCGAGAGAAACATAATTCTTCTGGTCTCGACGGATGCGAGGACAACACGGAACCTCCTCGAAGCGACGGTCGTTCGTTCAACCTTCGTGTGTCAATTTCCTTCCCCCAAGTTTGGTGAATGAACCTTCGGCCGCGCGTTTTCTATTCCGCGGCTGTCCGCCCGCGATGCGATCACGTACGCGCGCACATACGTGCCCTGACATACGCAATGACATACGCACCTCGTCGAGGGAGGTATGCCTCGCATCGCGTTCTCGGTGAACGCACCTGTGCGTTCGGTCACTTTGCGACGAAGAGGACGAGAGCGCGTTCGGTCAACGTCTCGGCCTCTTTAAGGATTTTGCATCCAGGGTTGCGTGACCTCCCTCAAGTTTCTGCCGCGGGGTCGCGTTAAAAACGCATCTCCCTCGACTGGTCTTTACCTACATACGACGACAGCTCGACAGCTCTACCATTACGATCGTCCAGCCGTCGAGCTGATCGCCATTCCTCCCTCGTACGCGACTTGGAACTTTCCTCGTCGGCGCCTTCAACGGCACATATTCGAGGATGCACGTGTCGCAACGGCACACGTAAAAATTCTATCTGAATTCCGTTAACCGTGTTATTGACGTGGAAAACGCTTGACATATGCGAGAACGCGTTTTTGAGATAAAAGTGAGATTGCAGGACCCCCGCTGTATATGTTTGTATATTTCTAGCAAATTGCATAACATTGTACGCAATGGCAAGTGTGTCTTAAAAAGAGACGGGCCATTATTATTAGAGACGTTAAAGCTTCTAATTGACTCGTTGAAGGTTCAGTCGAAACCAATAGAAACAAAACTTTGTTATCTGTTTATACCTCCATGCACGTGATGCTACTTGGATATACCCTTCATTTATTTATTCTGACACTTATCTTCATATTTGTGTATTTTGTCGCGCGATGTACCGATCAATCGATAAGATATGCAACAGATTGTATTATTGGCAATCTTGCCGTAAAGCCGAATATAATCCCGCTCGCGAATAATTGATTTGTAACTTGTGGAAATACTTCGGAAATACCTTTATCGTAAAAAAGATTGCAAGATCGTCCACGTGAAAGCTAAACAAAAGGAATTCAGAGTGAGTTTCGCCGTTCGTTCGTTGTTGTTAAATAGACGAGATTTCCAGGTACTCGCGACTGGATCTAGTCCGTTCGTTATCTCATTAACTCTGCGATCGAGCTTCACGCCCGAACTTTCCTCGTGCAAAGCCGCGAAATTACGCGTGGGAAAAAACCGCGCGAAATTATCACTCTCGTCTTAGAAAAAAGTAGTCGGCGGAAATTTTACCGCGTGCTTTTTTCGCGTGTCTAGCGAAAACCGCCGAACTAACGACTTGATCAATATAATTATTGCACACGCGGTGAAGGGGGGGCTAATTTTTGCGGGAAATGACCCAGTAGCCCGTAGCCCCTCGAGAGAGCATTCTCGGGAACAGGAAAAATTCCTCAAGTCGGGGAGGTTCGCCTTCACCCGAGGAAAAGAAAGGAAAAGGAAGAAAAAAGGAGAGATCGCGCTCGATCGATTCGTAAATCAGGGGAGCCTCGTGATCGCCACGCAATCGAGATAACGATCCCCTGTTTGCTTCATATTACAAGAATAATGTATTAAACACTTGATTATCGATATTAAACATTATATAATTGGTTGTGGGTCGTATACACGGCGCGCTCTCGAGCTCAATTGTGGCGCAATCCAATCGGGATATCGTAATTGCGCTATCGTTTTTGCATACAGACACGCGCGCGCCTCGTAACACTTCCTCCTTTTTCTTTCTCTCCTTTCGTCGACGGATGTCCTGTTGTTTCTTTTTCGTTATTCCCGCCGCGTTAAATTCACTCACGCACAAGTGTGAAAGGGGAAAAACGCGATCGAGAGAGGACACGGAGGGGGGGGGGCAGCCCTATCTGGACTATTATTGCAGAACCTGCGAGATATGCACTTTACTCCTGAGGTTTATGCACTTAACTGATGTTGCGTGTCAACAAGCGATAAATCGATGACACTATATTGACTTTACCGCACAGATGCCTACACTGAGGGAAAAATATTGTAGAATCAACAAAACAATTTTGTTGACTTTTCAATTTATTGATCCAATTATTTATTTTATTAAATTAAGTACACGTCTATTATTTGAACAAAATAAAATAATTGAATTATGAAAATGGTATCATACAAAATCATTTCTTTTAAGTTAATGATCAATTGTTAACTCAATAAAATAATTTTGTTAAACCAAGAACACGTTTTTAAAAACAGTAAATTTATTCAAAGAAATATTTAGTTAATGTTATATTATGTATAATTGATAGTATAAAATATTTAGTTAAAAAGAACAAATCAATATAGTCAACAAACAAAATAGTCAAAAAGAACAAAAAGAACGAAATATTTTGTACAAAAATTTTGTTAAGCCAATCAAATCATCTGCTTGGCAACATACAATCTTCCGGTTTTATTAAATCAACAAAATTTTTTTTGAAAAAAATAATTATTTTGTGTACTTTAATGTGTACTTTAATTATCCGAGGCAATATCGTTCGCAATAGTCAATGATATCGTTGATAGATTTCCGAGGATAGAGCGAATTGTTTTTCAGTTTTCCCTCCTTAGATATAGAGCTCGAACGAGACAAAGCGCAGCTGAAGTAGATTATTATCGAATCTGACATATCTGCGCGGTATCTCCGCCGGGGCTGGCACTCCGGACGCATAAATTGGCGGGAAGTTAACTTGCGACACACACAGCAACGCTGATTTATGACGCATCATTGTAATGATCCCAAGAGTTTCAGAGATCGCGCAAATCGCGCGAGACGTGTGAATTCGCGGGATTTGCCTGCTGCGTTTAACGGGGAAAGATCGCGAAATAGACGCTATATTATCGGACTTGCGAAATTACATTTCGTCGTCGCGACGAGAAACTTGCGATAATGCGATTTGACTCACAATCAGCCGATTACTCGATCTGCGCACTTACATTTTTACGCACTTGGAGTTTTCCACGTGTCGAGTTGACAGGTTTATTATATGAAGATCTTCTATTTTAAAAATAAATGGATCATATACGTTATATTATCAATCTTCGTTGTTTCAGACTGAATTATCAGAAATCCATTCGACGATAACATTTCGAATTATCGGCATTATTAATTCACAGGTCTGTATTCTCATTGTATTTTTAGCTCACTTTTATTGATAAATGGCGACGCATTTATTTCTGAGATTCTATAGTATATGTAACGTAAATTATATGCGCGCATTTATGATAAAAATGAGCTGAGAATACGGAGGAGCTGAGCGTAGTCCCGAAAACGTGCCGCTGTCATCAACGGATAGAAAAACAGATGGACGTCATCGTCGAAAACCTCAACTGTCGATGCAACTTGCATTTCACGCATTAAATCACTGCGATCT